AAAAAGACATATTGGCCGATACCATCAACGCAGTCAGTGGGCTTACATACCAAATTCCACACACGCTCTGTTCACTCACTCCATATAACTACACCTAGAAACATCCATAATTTCCGCATCGATCAGCCACTCCAATTTCAAATATACAATGACTACCCATGTCATTATTTTTTTCAATTTCAATTGCCAGTGGAGCCCCCACTAGTTACGTCGGTTAACCAGTTCGTATGAAAAATACTTTAGCCTAGGCATCGGCTCAAGTCGCTTGTAAGTTTACAACCTGCTAGCATAGCCACATTGCAAGGGATTCCTTAGATAAAAAGCTTGTTTGATGTTAAATTTGACGTCAAGGACTAAATTTTATGGCTTTGCAGCAAGCACGTACATCTCTCAGAAAGGCGCGAATCCTGGTCAAGAAGTTTATTATTGTTTCCTTTTAGCTCACTTCGTGTGTAATACATTGCTTGATATATATAATTTGTTCTTTTTAATCTATACTCCAACCCCATCGAACTATTCACAACCTAGTCGAAATAATATGCCGGACATTACTCGGTAGTATATATGCGACTGGGCTTCAGATGGGCAAAAATCGAGTTGCTTTTGTTTTCTCCTCTCTCCTTGTTCTGCGATAAGTAGTTGCCACTTTGTCAACCGCCTAGAGGCTGCGGCTTCATCGCTCGGCCCATCAAATTTTAGTCCTCAAGTTATGAAACACCTCTGGACGGTAAATCCTCATATAGAACAACCAGTTGCGTCAGCCTCACGGAGCAATCCACGCACAGAGGATTACAGAGTTGACATAATGCAGTCGGATAGTTAATGGTTCACCTACTGTATTGTTTAATTCTCTCGCCACCACCATATCTCAACGGTGCGAACGTCCCGATGATGCGGATGCCACGGTCTCTCCCTCATTTTTAACCATTACGAAGGACACAATTACACGTGAAAACCAAGGAGTAGAGGTAGATTAACACTGTTATGGATCATTTGACTTTCGCTCGATAGGTCTGCTCTAGATAGTTTTGTGATTGATCCAGTTTTTGCAGCTTCATCAAATTGCCCTTTGAGTGTATCTCTGAGCGCGCATGAGTTGCTTCGTCGAAGCCATTGAAAATATGTAGAATTTCACTGGATCGATTGCCAGAGAATGGAGGGAATAGGCATGATGGCGAAGAGGTCATATGTCAGGAAGGATATGTAACACCGAGCAAAAAGAAAAGAAAAAAAAAGTAAAGTAAAGAACTAAACACAAAAATACGTATAAAAAAAATGACAGACCAAAAACCGGCGTCAGTGATTAAATTCTATAAAAACATGACGAACTTCTACGAGCAGAAAATACCAGAGAGACAGTGTTATTATTGCCATCAACAATCAAAATGACAAACCGACCTCGCATCTCATCCAGATCCCTCACTCGCGCGCGCCTGGACCAACGATCTTCGCACAAGACTCTCCTCGCGTCCCACCACACCTTCAAGGGCATAGAATCCTTCTACAAGACCCCGAGCACCATGCCCGGCCCACCCAATCCAACAATATGTCACCTATACGACAAATAAAATTTAAAAATCGAAACCCTGCAACCCATCCTCTTCCACAAAGGCCTCCTGGGCCGTGTCGAGCACCGCAGATTGCTCAATGAGAATCGAACGCTGTAGTTTCAGCTGGTGGTGATCATGGAGAAGCATATGATCCAGATGCTGGCGAATTTCTTGGCTCCGGAACCGGAGATGGGAAAGTCGAACGACGGGAGATGAGGATGTTATTCATGGGGATTTGAAGGGCCTTGGGGCAGAGGCCGCAGGAGTCGCCGCATATTCGGTGCGTATACGAGGCACTTGTGTGGAGCACGCATGTGGATACGTGGGATGCATGCTGGGAGGCTGTGCAGAGTGTTGATAGCCTGAATTTTGACATTTTGTTAGGAAACATTAAATTCGGCCGACAGGTGTATGCGGGTCCTGTGGCAAGGGGTGGAAAGGTGATTAATGCGGATGCGGCTTTGAGGCTTTCATTGGCACGGTTTGTGACCGTTGTTGATATACGGAGGGGTTATTATAATACACGCTGTGGATGCGGAAGGGTCGAAGAGGCCGTTGGTTAGTGGTCATGACTGGCGTGTTTCGGGCAGCCGAGTCGGAATCTCTTGGTCACGAAATGCAACGCATTTTGCGTTTGAAGAGGATCTGGGTGGGTATCTTCCTATTCTGGATGTTCTCAGGCTTTCTTTGAACTTGGGTTTGAAGGCTGGGTCTCCTTAGAGCTGTTCTCAAAGACGACTGGCAGGCGTTAACGGGGGTTGAGCATGCGAGAAGAAGAGCCGAGTCCTGGACGAAGTTAGTATACTACCATGGTTGAATACAGTTGACACTGCAACCAATGTGTTGGTGATTTTGTTTCATCGTAGACCGTGCGGTGGGGGGTTGAAATATATATATTGCCACATACCGTGTTATCCCCGTTCATATCTCGCAAAATCTCAATGCATCTATCTAGTCACAACCATTTACGCGGCACAAGAAGCTGACAATATAATCCTGTATTGATATACCTAAAGAGCGCAAAACAGAACCCAGGTGCATGAGATGAATTTAAAGTCATATCCTTCGTTGTGGAGTTGATCGTTGAAGGCAAATAACATCATTTCTAGTTCCCTAATCTAATCGCGCAGGCTCCCGGATTTAAACAGTGCGCTTCTGCAGCATCCTGTTTCTTGATATAATCGTTTATGTTTTGGGCATACACAGCCTCAGGTGAATACCGATGTCGTTCGCGAGTAGCAGAACATAATGGGGATAATACCTTTAAGGTGTATGTTGCTGTAAAGGGTGCGATTGGAACAAACATAAAGAACGCAGCTTTAAAATGAGAATATGATGATAGGAGGGCCAACATGCTGTTGGCTGAAGTCAAAACAAAACAAAATGAACTAATTGTATAATTCTTGGTTAGCAGGAAAGAGATCGCAGACGAATCACTTAATTGATAAATGAGCTCATCTATGCCTCTTGTGCCCACCGTCGCTCTCGTAAGGGCATTTCTTCGCCTGCTTGTGAACGTATTCCATCAATTTCACGACGCCAGGCCCAATATTCACCCAGCCGCAACTCAGCATAAGACGCATAGTCGAAATCGATCTGGGAAATTGTCGCTTGAATCAGCGCCCATACACCCCTGTTGATTTTGAATATTAGTTATCGTCCTCAATTTTGAGCTAAAAGCAATGAAATACTTCGTTCCATACCAATAGAAGCCAGGAATTCCACGGAATCGATCAACATCTTTAAACAATTTCTCAACTACGTCCTTTTGATTAGCGCCATATAATGTAGAATGTTCAGCATAGCTCTTGACGTATTCAGTGAGGAATTCTTTCCGAACGGACTGCGTCGGTATCTTGTTGAAATCGCAATCATAACCGGCCCATTCTGCGAAATGGTTCGCAATATCAAATGCCGCTGGTGATGGCGTGGCGTATTCATAGTCGATGAAGCTCACAGCTTCATCCTCAGTTGCATTAGCTGGAGTTAAGTCGGCGCCGCGCGGTAAAACGATGACATTGGCACTCAAAAGGTCGCAGTGGGCAAATACAAGCTACAATATTGCATCAGCGTCTTAGAAGGTATTGGAGAGGGTGTGTTTGAAGAAGTACCCCGCCCTTGCCAAGTCCTTTATCATCATCGAACTCTGCAACTATTCTTTCAAATTCCTTTTGAAGCTTCCTCCGCCTCAAGCGCTCCTGCTCTGTACTCACTGGTAAGGCAAGAATCCACTTCTGCAAAACGGACCAGAAACTGGTTCCTGCATGTCGAATCTTTACAGGGGTTATATCATCCACCTCTGTTGAGGCTGTGGGCGTACGAGTTGGACGGGCCGGAGAAGTTGTCTCCTGCCTTTCTTGGGGCGATGACGTAGGAGAAATCTCGTCGATTGGTAGTACTGCATGCCATTGAGCAAGTCGTCGGGCTATCGCCTTGAATATACGTGGGTTGTTAAGGTCATCTGGCGAAGTTACCTTTCCACGAATGAAGCGGTAAAGGAGACCATTCTGAAACCTGGCAAGGAGTGGCGGAGCGAGGCCACGCTCAGCAAGGAGAGCATGAGATCTGGTTTCCCCTGCTTACAGAATAATGTTTAGTGCGGAATTTCTAACTGATATTTTGGAGGCTACGCACGCTCGCGGTCAATCAATATTTCAGTGTGATTTCCATAGGCCCTCATCAAGACTGCATCATTATCGACTTGTTCATCGGAAAGGCCTGGCACCCTTTTTATAATTTTCAGTAGCTATATCACAACGCCAGGTATAATAAGCACATGGTTTTCAATTCAATGCAGCAACTGTCGATTACATACGGTATTGGTTATTCCATCCGTAAATCTAATAAACTCAATATCTCCTTCTGAATGTTCCCAGTGCGGGTTTAACGTCAACACAAGCCTCAGAGCTGAGGCTTGAGAATCAGCTTGATTGTATGATAACGGGATGTATCGCAGGGATGCATGGCCTTCGTTTCTGGAACCCATTTGAAAGGGCTTCTCTATAACGAAAGTACACCCGGTGTCAGTTAACGATAGGATAGAAAGACAGTCTAAAAGGTCAGCCGCAGTTTTGTAGATTTGCTTAGAAAGTCCAACCGTTCTTCATCAAGACAGAAAAGCTGGAGATCCTCAAGGGGCGCTTTTTGAAGGTGCCAGCGAGTGGATCGCTGTTCATGAAAGAGTGGAGACACGGGTGGCCAGTCTTGTTCGCGAGTATCAGGAAATCAGAATACGGCAAAGGGAAGACAATTTTTTGCAGATTGCTGGACACATACCGTAGAGGCAGAATTTGTTGGGAGGGGATAGGGTCAAATTGAGCAGAGAGCGAGTGCAATTGAGAAGGAAATTGGTCTCGTGCTCATCTGGAACTGTAAGATACCTCCGGGATTAAAATTCTCCGTAGGAACCTGTTAACTAGGCATTACTAGTGGTTATACGGGGGGGGGTTTGGGTGGCGTTATAACCCATGTTACTATGTATGTTAGCCAAGCCCCACGATAACTTTTTAGTGTTTAATTATATTGTACATACATTCAACCCCACTTGATTCATACCGTACGAGCAGGCATCATCCTTCAAGAATAGATTTTTAAGCACCCCTGCTCTGTATTCTTCATCATGACATCTCTAGCTGACTGTACAGAGGTGGAGCGGCAGCTTCAGATCAGCAAAGACCTCTTTTCGTACGGGGAAAAGGCCCTGGCCCTGGCCCTGCAGAATCGACCAAAGAATACCAATAAGCAGTATCTCCCCAAGCAGAGAGAATGGCGGGTGGGTGGCACTGCTTCCCTGCATCCAGATTGATCATTCTAGTTCTAACTCCTATCTCTTC